ACTCCATTAGTAGATGAAGATCAATAAGCACATCCAGAAGGAGATTTGGAACCCCTAAAGGGATGCCCAGGTAAACTGTGGAAAACCCCAGAGTGACTTGTCTAAGCATAACTAGCAGACAAAGGCAGAGTTAGGAATAAAAGAAAGGTCCCAAATCTATTTTCAGTTGAGGCTGGGTCTTTGTAAGAAAAATGCTTAGCTAGTGATTTGTGGTTACTTAACCATTGCTGTAGCAGGGTAAAGGGACCTTAAAAGAGCCCTAATAATTCTTATTATTACAAAGCACTGGTTGCCAGCAGGTCTCAAACTGCCCTACAAGCTGACAGAAGAGAAACAGTTTGAGTTGCTAGAGCCCTCAGTGATAGAAACAACCTGTTAAACCAGCATAACCAGCCACAGCTCTTCAGACATACCTTAAAGTGCTTTTGCAGAATCAGTAATGTTTTTTCCCAAGAAAATGGACGCAGCCTTCTTGGTCACTGGTGGCTTAAGAAGAAAAGCAGGTTCCCAAACCAGTGCTCTGTCCCCCACACATAGGTGGCTTCTCCATGGCTCCTTCTCATAGACAAAGTGCAGTTGGAAGGACTCTGTTGTGTGGTTAAAAAAACCCAACAAAATACCTCTAGGCCTAGCAGCCTGGCACCCTCTTCCCATGTCCTGGCCAAGGCACGTGGCTCCTCTTGCTGCTTCGTGTTCAGTCCAACGGCTCCAGCAAGTGCAAAGTGTTTGTCCCACAGCTCATCCCAGCGAGACCTGGTGACACAGTAGCTGCTGGGTCTGCGCTGTGCAGGCTGCTGGCTCCTGCTGGGATGTGCCGAGTGTCTGGAGGACAAGGCAGAAGCGCCAGTGTTGCTGCTTCTGGAGACGCAGATGAGGTTCTGACTGGGGGGCCAGTAACCCCTGTCATCTCCTGCTACTTCTGACGGTTCTTACCAGCGCAGCCTCCACCTTTATGTCCTCTGCGCAGCCGTAATCCCGTGTCTTTTCTGCCCCTTCAGGATTTTCAGAAGTCCAGCCCAGGCTGCGTCACAGCTGTCCGCAAATCCTTCCAGCAGATTAAGGATCTGTGCCTGAGTGGAGGTAAGGAGAGTGAGCAGTATGGACGGCTCCCTGAGGGCAGCCAGCAGGCAGTCCCAGCTGTGCGGAGAAAAGTTCATTCAGTTTTACTTCAGCTAGATTTTCACGTGGTTCAGCTAAATCAATGCAAATGCCCACCTCGCCGCCTCTTTCTGCCTGCACAGTTGGATTTTGATTTATTGAACAGTTTCAGTTAGCATTAAAACTAGCAGCCAATGCCAAAATGAAAGCATCTGTGTGGGAGCTTGCACAGTGTTAACGCAACCGTCTTTTCTGCGCCAAAGTGCAAAAACACCACCAAGTGCAAAACACCTACATTTTATGCTGGTAAGGCCTAATGTTTCATCAAATGCTTGTCCTCAGCACCCACACTGTTGAGAACTGTTCAGGTGGGTATGACAACTGTGTGGCTCGGCTCACTGAAGTATCTGAGAAATATTTGGAAGGCTTTCTAGGTCCTGAGGCAGCCATCACAGTCTCTTTCATCTCCAACCTTGGACAGTTAGGTGAAGCCAAAGACAGAGGCTGGTGAAGATCTCTGCAGTGTCTCCCAAGTAGGCCAGACCAGAAATCATGAGCTGCTGCATCATCATGTCCTGGGAGCCCTGCATGGTGCTGGAACAGCTCCGGTGGGTTCTTGGTCTGTCTCGAGGCTTGGCTTGGTCTGCAGTGCTGCACGTCGGGGGCTGCATGCCTCCGATGGCTGCTGCCCCAGAGGAGCTGGGGGTCCAAAATCCCATTTAGCTTTGGGTCACAGCAGGAAGAACGTTACTGTTAAATAGCCAAGGTCCTTGAGGTCTGCCTGGGGCCACGATTTCTGCAGTGGGGTGGAGAAGGTGGGCGTATTTAAGGATTAGGCTCTCAAGTGAGTATCCGGAGGCAGGTCCCAGGCCTTGAGTTTCCACGTAAAGACAGGCAGGCTCCGGTGGACAGCTTGCTGAGAGGGTGGGGACAGGCAGGAACTGTGACTCCAGAACGTGGAGGATGAAAATGAAGGGAGCAGCTTTCCTCAGTAGAAATGCAAAGGTATATGAGTGCATCTTGAAGGAATCTCTTCAAAGATAGATTTCCCGAGTCCAGCTGACCTCTCTGCATCACACTGAAGTTTGAAGGCACGTCTCAGGAGTCCTTTGTGACTTTGTGAGGACTATTCTCCCTTGGCAATTCTTACTGCAAATGCACCCAGCTCACAAGGAGGTCTTTTTTTTTTTTCTCCCTGCCAGTTCTCCCAGCTGTTGAATCCCACTGTGACCTGTATGCTGTACCCTGCCCTCCTGCATGAGGGCTTGCCTGGGGACAGTGCTCTGCAAGGCATGGCAGACCCCAGGAGGTAGCCTGTGGGGGTGAGGAGGCAGCAGCCAGGCAGGGCACTGGCAAGGACAGTCTGTTACCAAGCTCTTCTCGCTGTGCCAGCCAGGACTGCTTGTCTCAGTGGGTGCTGCTCCCCAGGGAGGTGTCAGTGGCTCTGGGTGGGGCAGAGGGTGGTCCATGGGCCACGCGGGGTTGTGAAGCTGTACAGGAACGCTGTGCCTGAACAGACACGTCTGTGTAACTTTAGATGTAATGTGTCCTTCACACTAGAAACCTCATCTGCATGTTACGGCATCTCCTTACTACTGAGTGAAACAAGATGCCGAAGCCTGGTATTATTTCCCTCTGTTGAAGTTTGTGTCTTTCATTTTCCTTCCTTCTGCAGCCTATGATGAAATCAGCAGTAAAATGGCCACATGCAATAAGATTTCTAACAAGGAGGATGTTTACCAGCTTTTTGGGTTTGCTAGAAATGCCTTCACCATGATGGCCATGATGGACTACCCTTACAAAACTGATTTCATGGGTCACCTCCCTGCCAATCCAGTGAAGGTGAGTACCAGGACGTGATTTCTGATGTGTGCCTTGGTGACCGGAGTGCAGGGGGCTGCACCGCGTGGGTGATGGTGATGGGGAGGTAGTGGTGGCTGTTGCAGCCCTTCCACTCTGACAGTAAATGTACACAGTTTAAACTTCTCTGTGACGGTGAGCACTGTGTTTGAAATGCGCCGCTGTAAGGCTCATCGGGGAGGGTTTGCTAGGGCCACTCCTGCCCTGCTCTGGCTTTACCTTAGACACTAAAGCCTCTGCAAGCTTGTTGATTTCAGTTTTTAAACACTACAAACCTGTGGAGTTTAAAAAAAATGCAGTTTTGTTCTATCCCACCTCAACACACTTCCATAGATCTATTTTTCTTGGTGGGTAGGGATGGAGATCTGAAAATAGACCCCTTTGTACATATCGCCCATACCTCTGAGCATAACGCAGAGAAATGTCTGCTGCTGTGGGGCCTGGAAAACCGGTACACTGTCAAGAGAGTCGCAGATGGCAAAGTGTGGGAAAGGGGCCTGGATCTCAGGGGCTTACAGAGACTTCTTAGACCCCCGCTGCTTTGGAAAGGTCCCAGCTTTGATCCCAGATCCCCAGTTGCTGCTGCAATTCTTGTTTTCTTCTGGTGTGTGGTCAGCCTTGTGCTGCTGCTGGCGGGTCCTCCAGCACCCCACGCCAACAGGACTTCATTTGCCTCTGGCCTTGTGGCGTTGATTGCTGGAGTCCTACCTGGAGCTAAACGCAGGCTGTGCAAGAGGTCGTACAGGCTACGCTGTGCCAGAACTCAGCAAATGCTGTCTCTGGGCGTCCAGTTCCCTTCTAGGGTGTGTTTAACCCTCAATTTAAAATTGAAATAATTATTCTGCCCCCGTCCCCCACCTTGAGAAGGGCGTTAAAATATTCTGATTGTAGGAAGGAACTGTCAGGTATCACTGTGGTCTCTGCACAGCTGCTCAACTTAGTAAAGAAACTGTTTGTCCTAGCCTTGTCTCCCTGGTTTTATGCACTTTGGTTGCCAGAAGGGAGAGAAAAAACCCCAAAACCCTGTTGCATTAGGCCCTTGGAAAGCTGATGAACCATAAAATGTGTAAGTGATGATTTTTAATGAATCTTCCAGCTTAGCCGTTCCGCGGAGCAGAGACTGTTAACTCTCCTGTCTGCAACTTGCCTGTAATGTGTCTCATCCAGGTCGGCTGTGAACAAATCCTTGCCCACACAGACCCAATTCAAGGCCTGGCTGCTCTTGTTGGTGAGTTAATAGTATCAGTTTGGTCTTTTATTTAGCACTTTATTTTTTAGAAGCACGTGTAAGTAGAGTTGTTGTGGCGTTGTGTCTCCACAACTCCCATCTCCCACTGGGACGTTTTGCCCCATATTGGCTTTGTCCGTCGGGATGTCCCATCGTGGCCCATCGGTTCGTTCTCTCACCTTTCCAAACTTATTGTCATTGGGTTTTTCAGCCATTGCAGACCCTGAGCCTGTTGACTGTCCATGTACTTGGTTCTTTCTAAAAGTTTACCCAGACTCTGGCTCAAGCAGTCACAGGTTCAATGCATGTTCAATGAAGGAAGTTTTCTGGTCTGCTTGTTGAGGACAGGGTTGTCATCACAGTACCCTACGGTCTTAATCCAGTGGCACAACAGTATTAAATACATGGTGTATATTTATCTCTGTGGGTGCTTCATTTGTTAGCTAGGAGTGTTTGTAAGGAAATTATTAGAAATAGAATCAAAGCTCTTTTGAGAGTTCTTCATTAAATCTTAAAAGTTGCTCATTAAAAATAAGTTCTACATTGGTCATTATTCAGAAAAACAGATTCTGAATGACAAAAAATTGATTTAAGGAATTCTTACGGGTTTAATACAGCTTAGTAGGATTGGGAACTAATTTTCTTTTTTTTTGCAAATTATGCATGTCACCATAGCAACAAATTAGGCATAGCAGCAAGTCAGAAACATACCTATTCCAAATCACTGCTAAAGATGCTTGGCTGGCAACTGGAAGAGTTGTTAAAATACTAATGTCTTGGCAAACACTGTCAGATCTGCTTAAGTATTCATATCCTACTTCTTTTCTGAGGCAGAGTGGGACTCTTGTTTCTTTGTGATGGACAAGCTGAGGGTAGATTTCTTCCTCCTGCTCGCAGGGGAGCACTTTGTGCCTCTCCCCACCTCGCCAGCTGCATTCACTTGGAACAGTTTAATCGTGCAAGAGGTGTGATCCACCAGAGCTTTAGGCAGGGGACTGGCTTTCTTCCATATCCGCCCTTCTGTCTCATACAGGAAAACACTGTCTTCTTTCTGCATGTGCCGCAGCGACGCACCTCCTGCAAGGTAGAGCGTAGACTCGTGGGCTGTGATGCTGAACTGGCAGCAGTTGAACGGGGAGAGTGTTAGCGTTGTCCACTGGTTGCTTACAGGACAATAATACTCCGTCTCGTTGACTTGAATCCATTCGTCTGCCTGCAAAGAACCAGACCAGCACTCACCTACGTATCATGCCTCATGTGGGCATCGCTGTCACATCAGGCTCACCTGGTTCACGATAAAGGCAACCAGCGTCTCAACATCTGTTTGAATACCATGGGGCTCAAGGTGCCAGATTTTGAATCTAAATTTACAAAATAGAGCCTCAAAAGAAACTGGATAAAATACCAGAATGGCACGGCTTTAAAGGAGCTTTGTTCTTCTTGGAAAATCAGAGGAGTGAGCTGAGCAAGGTGCCACAGGCACCTGCTGGAGCTGCCAGAGCAGAGTGCTGCCTGCTCTCCAGACATTTAACATATTACAAAGGAAATAACTGCAGTCGATACAATGGAGGGAAGGGATGGCATCCAGAGGGACCTGGACAGGCTGGAGAAGTGGGCCCATGAGAACCTCATGAGGTTCAACAAGGCCAAGTGCAAGGTGTTGCACTTGGGCTGGGGCAGTCCCAGGTACTTGTACAGACTGGGAGAAGAACTTGAGAGCAGCTCTGCAGAGAGGGACTTGGGGGTCCTGGTGGATGAGAAGCTGGACATGACCCAGCAGTGTGCGCTGGCAGCCCAGAAGGCCAACGAACTCCCGGGCTGCATTAACAAAGGGGTGTTCAGCAGAGGGAGGGAGGGGATTGTCACCCTCTGCTCCGCTCTGGTGAGACCCCATCTGCAGTGCTGTGTCCAGGCCTGGGGTCCTCAGCACAGGAAGGACGTGGAGCTCTTGGAACGGGTCCAGAGGAGGCCACAGAGATGATCAGAGGCTGGAGGACCCCCCCCATGGAGATTTTGAGGGAACTGGGCTTGTTCAGCTTGGAGAAGAGAAGGCTCCAGGGAGACCTCATTGCGGCCTCCCAGTGCTTGAAGGGAGCCTGTAAACAGGAGGGGGAGCGACTGGTACAGGGAGTGACAGTGACAGGACGAGGGGGACTGGTTTCAAACTAAGACAGGGAAGATTTAGGTTAGACGTCAGGAGGAAATTTTTCACTGTGCGGGGGGTGAGGCAGTGGCCCAGGGTGCCCAGAGAAGCTGTGGATGCCCCATCCCTGGAGGGGTTCAAGGCCAGGCTGGATGGGCCCTGGGCAGCAGTGGCTGGTGACCTGCCCACAGCAGTGGGGTGGGACTGGGTGATCTTTAGGGTCCTTTTCAACCTAGGCCATTCTGTGATTCTGTGGAATCATCTAAAGAGGGCTATATTGCATTGAATTGGGGACAATAACTGAGTTTGTGTCATTTGATGGAACTTGATGTCAGCCTTGATGTGCATTTTCTCTTGGTAGATTTCTGCCCCTTCCTCAGTGAGCAGTTCAGTACTCTGAGACACCCTTGTTCCTTCAAAAGACACCACACCCATCATGGTAAGATGGGGCCAGGCCCTGAGTCTTTACACTTTCAAATGGGAATTGCTGAATGATGTTTGAAAGCTCAGTTCTCTTCAGGGAATGGGATTCTCCTGGAGTGAGCCTTTTGGTCCCTGTCAGGTCTCATCCCAGCTTGCCCTCCCCAGAAGGCTGGGCAGTGCTTTCCCTCCTCTTTCAGAGATGGGAAATCCAGGTTTGAAGAGACTTAATTTGCATTCCAGGGCCTGAGCCCATCTTTCCTAAAATCCAGGCTAGTCTCCTCACCACAGACCATTCCTCTTCCCGTCTCCTGGTGTTTCGCCCCCTCTCAGCCCCAGCAAGGAGAACCAGGCAGTCAGGGTGTTTGGGGCGGGTACGGGAGCAGTTGTACACTGCGGTTTTCCCATGTTAGCAGGCTGCATCTCCACCATATGTTTTCTCTATTTTAAAAAATGCTTTAAACGGCCTTTGTACTCTGTGAACAAATAGAGTGTGACAGCAGGGCAGCCTCGAACGCATATGATTGTCATGGCAGGCACATTTTCGTAAGCTTATTGGCCTGGCTTGAAACTGTGCCAGTCCACTAAGAGACCAAAAATAATGAAGTTACTGGTTAACCTGTTGGAATAAAACAGTCAGAGCCTAGCAAAACAGAGACCCCATTTGGGATCAGATTTGGGATTATAAGGGCAAAGTAACTTACTCCTTTTAGTGTCCTTCCTCCAATGCAAAAGATCCTGTCCCTGACTGCAGCCATCCCGTGATCACAGCGAGCAGAAGCCATGGCACTGTTGCCAATCCAGCGTCGGAGGCGAGGGAGGTAGCTGTAAGTGTCTTGTAAAGTTTTACCCCCAGAGAAGCCCCCTAGAAGGAAAGCAGAAGTCTTGAAAATCTATCCGTCATCCTCTCTGACATCCAGCAAGCCTTCTACAAACATTAGCAAAGCTGGGTTTTTTTTTTTTTCCTCTTTAAAATACCTAACAAGCTCAGGTTTAAAATTTCACACCATTCTGCAGAGCCAATGTGGTGTGAAATTTAAAACCTGAGCTGCTTTGGTATTTTAAAGAGAAAAAAAAAACAACAAAAACCAAACAACAAACCAGTTGCAGCTCTTTCTGTAAATAGTTTTCCACAAAAGATTTTTGAATAAAGCTCTTTGGGTATTTCAGGAGTAACCAGGAACAGCTTTAATTAGGGAATCTGCTTCCAGCATGTGCAGTGGTGGTTTGAAAGAAACGCATTCAAACCTCTTTGAACTTTGGATCTTCGACAGAAGGTCAGAGCCAATCTGCCAGTGCTGTTGTCAACTTTTTTCTTTATTAGGTGCTCAATTGTGTATTTCAGGGGTGCATTATAAAAAGCCCCTTAAAGAAAGAAGGTGCTGCTGTGGGAAGGGTGAATGGCTCCAGCTGCCTGCCTGTTGCATCCCAGCCTGCAGAGGGTCTTTGCAAACAAGGAGGATGAGTTTCAGGTTGGCCACATGCCCCAGCTCACACAGGCTTCGATGCTTTCTGTGTGTGGACACTGTCTGCATGGAGCTTGTCTTTAAATCTTGTATCGAAGTCATGCTCTTAATTTTTCAGTTTTCTTGGACGGGGCTGTAGGCTGGCCAAATCAAACCTGCAGTTACCCCACTAGTTTAGAAGAAAACTAATGCTGTAGGTAGGTAAGATTTTGTACCCGAGGGGTATAGTGTTATCCAGCCTAGGTCACTGTGGTGTGTTTGAAGCTCTGTGAGGCAATTTTGTCCTTGCTCTCTGGTAGGAATTGAGACCAACAGAGGTTAAATGAGCTGCTTGTGGCACTACAGGACAGCTGAGTCAAAGCAGGGACTTGAACCTAAGCCTCAGCTGTTCTCCCAGCTGAACTATTATCCTTCCTTTCCAGACATCATGCTGCCCGTGCAGGAGCCCTGCTGCCAGTGGGCACGCGTCAGGGCAGGACAGCCTGTCTGCTGCCTTCTCTGTCCTTGGGGCCTCGGGCACACAGTCCATCGCAGAGAAGTGCCCTTCACTGTGAGTGTGCCACTGGAGATAATCTGTACCAGTGGGCCTGGCTGGCTGTAACTGGTTTACGAAGCAGGGAGCCTGCAGCCATGGCAGCCGGGCACAGGACTTCTGACTGCAGAGGCAATAGCACAAATGACACAGTGCTTTTCCTAGGACAAACCAAAGATTTCAAGCCCAGATTAGTAGCTACAAGAGCTAAATATCCTACAACAGTTTCCTGAAGTGTTTAAACCCATGCCGCTTCATTGTTAAACATCCTGCACCATCTACCAGAAATCTCTGTAGAGACCGCGGTTCCCTTGCAGGGCAAGAGCCGTGCAGGCTCAGTGGGTAAGACAGTAAGAGTCTGCATTATATCTTTTTGTACAGATGAACAAAGCAGTGTGGTAGGGCGAGTCCCACACCTTCCATTCAGATTTAATACCGAGGTTTAATCCCACCCCCAACACTCTGGCAGCCCTGCTCCTGGTTTACCTTTCCAGACAGCAAAGCTTTGGGATTTAGCCAGGATTGCAAGGTCAGAGGAGAGCAGGGCTGTAAATTGCAAGGAGATGATGTCGCCTTTAATGTCTTGGAAAGAAGAGAACTGCCATTCAGGAGGGCAGTGAGGCCGTGCTAGAACAGCAGGAAAGGGACACTGGAGCTGTGGGTGTTACTGGTGTAGGTGCAGGCTTAGACTGTGACATTAAGATGCCAGCAAAAGTTAATGGAACTATATGAAAATATGCTGCTTTCTGCTAGCTCTATCACCTGAAATATAGAGGATTCCCTTGTGGGTTGTGCCTGCATGGTCAGCAATAGGCATGGGGAAAGGAGCTACGAACTCCCACTTGTTGTCAGCGGGCTGGTACAGTTCCACGGTGCGGGTGAGGGTCCCCAGCAGCGTCCCACCACCCACGGCAAAGATGCGATCAGACAGTACATCCGCGTGGAAGCGTGTCCGCCTCTCCAGCATGCTGGCAACCTGGAGCCAGGAAGCGTTGCGGGGATCAAATCGAAAAACCTAGGATTACAGCAGATGGATGATGGTTAGTAGAAGGTGGGCTGCTGGCTTGTATCTCATCTGGCTTCAAGAGCTGATAAATGTTTTCCCTGGGCTGAGGAAAGTTTTACATTCAGACCTGAACAGGCTCAATTCCCAGTGCCAGGCAGCTGACAGAGCAATACATCCCCAGCAGAGCTGGAGGCTCGGTTATAGCCTTTCTGTGGGGCTCTGGGAACCAGCTGTGCTCTGAGCGTGCAGCAAGCAGGAGGTGAAACGCATTGGCTTGGTTCAAACACCAGCTAGTGTGTATCTGCTGAAAACTGTTTCAATGAAATTTAAACAAGCGTGTTTTGCATCTCTGCTGCTTTTTGAGTGTGTAGTAAAGACAACAGCTGAGCTTTGCCTGCTGCTCTTGCACAGGAAGAAGGCAGGAGTGCCTTCCCCCCCCTTCATCCCTGGTGGCATCAGCACAGGGGCACAGCACCTCTGCTAAGGCTGGGCTTCCACTCACATCTTGGTCAGCAGTAAATACCTCCCCAAGCTTGTTTTGTCAGTCCTGGTTAGAAAGGCCAGGTCACTGAGCAAGGGCTGTATCTGCAGAACCACACGTGGTGAGCGCTGCGCTCGGGCCCTGCTGCATCCTCTGCTCCGCTGCTGCTGAGCTGCCTCCT